ACTGGGATTAGAACCTGAGTGTGCGTGTATATGTATGTATGTATGTATGTATGTATGTATGTATATATATATATATAGTGTCACAACCCCTGGTATGCCCCAATTATGGGAGGAAGCTAACTGCTTCCATTATCTGTCTATCGGCTCGTCACAAGAGGCCATCACGACAGAAAGCCCAATATTTTTACTGTTGCCTTTGTTACATCCCTCCCATGTGATGACTGACATCCCTGGTCTAAGGCCTCCTCATTGAGCAGGGGGCTGGACTAGAAGACCTCCAAGGTCCCTTCCAGCCCTATTCTGATTGATTGATTGACTGATTGATTGAAATGGTCTAGGGTCTCCTGCTTGAGCAGGGGGCTGGACTAGAAGGCCTCCAAGGTCCCTTCCAGCTCTATTGGGATGGATTGAAATTGAGATTCAAGTCATTTGCACACAGAGGAAAAAACAGAGAGAAACGCAGTGTCTCTTGAATGATTTATTTACCAAATATATTTCTATACAGTAAGTCTTCGACTTACGACCACGATTGAGCCCAAAATTTCTGTTGCTAGGCAAAACAGTTGTTAGGTGAGTTTTGCCCCATTTTACGACCTTCCTTGCCACATTCGTTAAGTGAAGGACTGCTATTAGTATGTAATAGTAGTAGTAGGATGTTAGTAACCTTGTTGTGAAGGCTTCCCCATTGACTCTGCTTGTCAGAAGGTTGCAAAAGAGGGGCACTGCAACCGTCACAAATGTGAGACACTTCGGTGTAATGGTTGTTAAGAGAAGCCGGCTTTCACTCATTGACTTTCCTTGTCAGAAGGTCACAAGAGGGGATCACGTGACCCGGGGACCGTCATAAGTATGAGTCGGTTTGCCAAGTGTCTGAATTGGGATCATGCCACCATGGGGATGCTACAACGGTCGTTAAGTGTGAAAAAGGATCCTAAGTCACTTTTTTCAGTGCCATTGTAACTTTGGAACGGTCACTAAACGAACTGTTGCAAGCCGAGGACTCCCTATACATGGACAAATGACTAAGGTCTTCCTTAGTGCATAGAAAATAATTTAAATGCAAATCTTTATGAAAAGAATGGTTGGCAAAAAGCAAACGACGTTCGGCAAGGAAATTTGGATGCAACAGGTAGCCGTAGCTTACTGGCCGCTCTACGGAATCAAATCTCGGTGGACTTCCGCCTCGAGGGTTGCCCATAGCAATGACGTCATCTCTTAGGTTCAAAGCCCTCCGCGTATTCTCGGGTCTCTAGTCGCCTCCCCCACAGTACACTTACGCGCATGCCCAGTAGCTCTCGGTAAAAACGGATGGTCTTAGCTCGGTCGCCGACTTTGAAGACAAAATGTAACGCGCGCCTCGCCTTCATGTTCTTCTTTCAAAAGATCGCGAAGGTAATACGAGTTCTGGGATTGTGGGCTATTTTATTTTGTCGCGGCGTGTCGCTGTCTGATAACGTCACAGACTAAACATGGCCGGAGGCCCGCTTTCACGCGGACTCTCTTCCGCTATAGAAAATCCCCACCCCCTCATTGAAAACCACAGCCAATAGGAGCTGCTATTTCTAACCGGAAGTTCCCGATGGTTTTGGGCGCTCTATATCATTTTCTCCATGGCTGTAACGAATCATTGTTTTGATTCGACAAAGTTATCCGTCTCCTTGACATCGAAATCTCGCGAGACTAGCGCTAAGACTCTCATCTTTGACTATTTCCGCCCGTGAGCAAGATGGCGTCCTTGTTCAGGCATGCGTGGGTTCCTCTACTCTTAACTCCGTGTCGGATTAGCTTTGGGAGCCGCCGCGGCGTTCGCGGTCTAAGGAGGAAACCCCTCCGCGTGCTTCCCTCGGTCGCGGAGGCGCAGGAGAAGCAACGGATCGTCCCCAGCAAAGTTAAGGCCCCTTACATCCCGAAAGCGCCCCCAAAGGAGCGCCAACCGGAACCGGAACCCAAAGAGGCGGAGCTGCGTTATGAGCGGGCCGAACCCAACGAAAAGCGGCTGAGGTAATTTCATTCGCGCAAAGCATCCTGGGTGCTGTAGTGCGAGCTGCTGGGGGAAAGCAAACGGGAATGGAAGGAGCGAACCACAATTCCCAGCGTCCTTCGGGGGGGGAGAGAGACGGGAGTCGCGGCTTGTGACCGCGCAACGCTTCCTGGGAATTGTAGTTTTGAGGGGAATCGAGGCGAGAAGAGCTAGATTTTTCTTCCTTTAATGGAAAAATCCCCCGTGGATATTCGTTTTCATCCGATCCTTTCCTTCTTCCTGCTGTCGTAGATGACNCTTCCTTCCTTCCTTCCTTCCTTCCTTCCTTCCTTCCACAGCCTGTAAAACTTCCAATCCAGACAGTTTCTTTGATAAGAGTAGCCAGGATGAATCCTACATACCCGTTACAGCTGGCCTTGCAACCTTCTTCAAATTCTTCATGCCGCAGGACCTGTTGGTTCAAACCCACATCAAACTGGTTCAGTAAACAGAGGCGTAGAATCAAGATCACATGAAGCATATTCATTTGGCAAGAGAAAAAAAAGAGAATTAATCTGAAACTACTGCAAGAGTCAAAAGGGAAAGGGGTTTTTGGTCTGTACCACCAAGCAGCTGCACTCACGCGGGTGAAAGAGCAGATAACTTTTGAGGAATAGAAGTTTATTATTATTGGAGGGTCACGACCATCAACTAGGGTGGCCTGCGCTCCCCCCCGCAGGAATAGCCAAAATGTTTAGAAATTTAGCGCCAAATTGTTGGAAATGTGATTATGAATCAGGCACGTACTACCATATGTGGTGGTCGTGCCAAAAAACAAAAGAATATTTGCGGAAAATTCAAAGGTGGCTTTTAGAGATAACCGAAGATGAAATAGAATTCAAACCAGAACTATTTCTTTTGGGAATCCTAAACAATAAACATAACCAGGAGGTAATCTACTTAACAATACATATTATTACGGCAGCAAGAATTATCTTTGCCCAAACCTGGAAAAACAGTGAAATTCCACAAGAAGAGGAAGTAATTAGGAAAATTCTGATTTGTGCTGAAATGGATAAATCGAGTGGGAATTGAAGATGAAAGATGAATCAGAATATTATAAGATCTGGGATAAATTTTATCGATGGTTGGAACAAAAAGGAAAGACCCAAAATAAGCAATGACTTAAGATTTATAGAATGGATTTTAGAATTATGTATGAAACTATAATAGTGAAAATGTATGATTAAGAACAAAGCAACAGGGTTGGAAATACAATATGTTTAGATTTGTAAGCATTGAATAGACCAATTGTAAAGAAGCATGGTGGTTATAATGTATAACTTTATATCTTAGTATAAAGACGGTTACACTGTGTCCAATGTTTTAATTTGTGTTCAATTTTATATATATATAAAATATGACGAGCCGAAGGACAAAGAATGGAAGTAGTGATCTTCCTCCCATATTTCGGCATACCGGGGGTTGTAAAAAATATATATGATTTTTACAACCCCCGGTATGTCCAAATATGGGAGGAAGATCACTAAACATTGGATACAGTGTCTTTATACTAAGATATATATGTATGTATGTATGTGTATATGTATGTATGTATGTATGTATGTATGTATGTATGTATGTATATATATATAT